CCCCCCCTGTGCCCCCCCATGGCTGCAGGGCACATGCTGACACTGACTCAAGGAGAACCTGGTGAATATCCAACGGGAAGCGCTTCCATCTGAGCGTGGGTGCCTGGTGCTGCCTCTGGGTGTTTTCCTGTTCCATTGACCTGAAGTTCCTGTTGGAATGCGCCCAGCATGGGGTTGTGGGTTTGGCTCAGTACCGGAGGGTGTTGTGACCGGTGTGTTCGTGTCGTAGGTACGACTGGCTTTGGCACGGGAACGACCGGCGGGCTCTTCGGTCAGCAGTCTCAGACTACGAGTCTGTTTAACAAACCGTTCGGTCAAGCCACGACGACGCAGAACACGGGCTTTTCGTTTGGGAATACCAGCACTCTGGGGCAGCCGAACACCAGCACCATGGTAAGACACACGGAACCCCTGAAGGTGTGAGCCAGACGCAGGAGCCTGCCGTAGATCGCGTTAGGTTTCCTCAAACCGTGGTACAGCTTCACCAGCCCGGGCTGCAGAGCTCGGGGCGCTGCTCTCGGAGCTCGCGACACCGTTCTGCACCCACAATTGCTCAGCAGTACAGCTTCTAACCAATACCTTTTCCCTCTAAGCAGCCTCCTCTCTACCAATCCGAGTGGTTTTGATCCTGTTCACACTGATCATTCCCTTGTTAACACCCTGTGGGAATTCGTTAGTGATTCTGTACTTTCTGGTGACTTAATCCACGGGCCCTCGTGCTGGAAAGGTGGAACCTGTGGGTAGCTGGGCTCCACCTCTGCTAGGTTCTTCCTGAATACGTTGTGACTTTTTCCAGAAAACCCTGTGAAATGTTTCTTTTCTATCTCCAAGTAGTGAGAAAATTCCAAATATCTCTTTAAGCCTGGAACAGAAATTCTTTGATTTCTTTTTTATTAACTTCCTTTTTGTGACTGATCTCTTGGATGACTGAAGCTTCCGTAACGCTTTTCACCCACCTTCCTCCCCCAGCCAAGGGATAATGTTGTAGCATCGTTCTGTTAACCTGCGTTGTGTCTCGATCCTGTGTCCGTCGACGCCCGGCGCGGGAAAGCCTGGCGGCGTTACCTTAACCTCGTTCTCGTTGTAGGGTCTCTTCGGGGTAACCCAGCCCTCGCAGCCTGGAGGCCTTTTTGGGACGGCTGCCAATACGAATGCTGGTACTGGATTTGGAACCGGAACTGGACTTTTTGGACAAGCTAACACGGGATTTGGTGTTGGCGGTTCGGTATGTCTGACACTAACAAAAACAAAGAACTTAGAGAAGGAAAATAAACCCAAATGGCTTAGTCTTGTTCCTGGGTTTTGACCTCTGTGGAAGTAGCTGGTGTTTAGATGCAGAAATAGCGTGGTTTTGCATGGGCTGAAGGCTAAAATGTAAGCGTGTGTAACAGAACTTGTGCCACGGGGCTGCTTCGGTACCGTCTGGAGCGATGAGACGGCAAGAGGGACGGAACGTCTCGCTGCCTGCGCATAGCCAGGGCCGCCTCAGCCCAGGGTTACAAATACAGGCGTTGACATTGCGGTGCCTTAACTGCAAACGGGCTCGATTCTTGATCAGTTGGTCACTTGGGTCTGAGTGGAAACGCTGGTTTCCGGAAAGCGTTTGCCACGTCCTAGTGCACGCAGCTTGCAGTACCACGCCACTGCTGGGGGTCTGGGTCGTGCGGTCCGAGCGGCCCTGTAGGCCTGCGCTCTTGCGACGGTGAGAACGCTGATGTGACTCCCTGTCAGTCTGCCGGGTTTCTGAGCTGATCTCTTCTCCTTCCAGACGCTGTTTGGTAACAAGCCTGCCGGATTTGGGACCACCACGACCAGCGCTCCCTCGTTTGGTACCACCACTGGCGGCGGGCTCTTTGGTAACAAACCAGCTTTAGGAACACAAACACTTCCAGTTTGGGTACATATGAGAAAAGGGGGGGTTTTGGGCACTTTGTCCTGCATATGCCACACGCCTGGCTGCTGAATAGTGTAGGAATGTTAAATCCTCAGGTAAGCCGTGCTTCTGATGCACGTTGCTGCAGGGGAACGTCTCGGCTGGGGCTTTATCCCTTCCCTGTTGGTGCTCCCTGACTCAAGCAGGTGGATAGTTAAGGAAAAGTACGCGATGCCAAACGGGGAGGAGTGGCTGCCACGCCAGAAGGCTGTGCTGCCACCCAGCATGACCTGGACAGGCTGTAGAGCTGGGGCAGGGAGGAATGCAGCTCAATAAGGGCAAGTGTCGAGTACTGCGTCTGGGGAGGAAGAGCACCATGGATCAGGACAGGTTGGGG